TGTGTATAGTGGAATAAACAAAAGAAGCAATATAAATTAATATATTGTAATAATTTATGTTGAGCAACGAACAAAATATTAATCATTAAACCGTTTGCCGGTGAGTAGATTTTTTATTACAATAGGTACCTACACTAATTGCATGGCTTCGGTTTTATTTTTTTGTTTTTAGTGTAATATTTGCTTCTTTGTAGCATGAAAAAAAAATGAAAAAATATAAAAATAAAATAACGGTGGCAGTATCGCATCCCCTAGATAGCTTAATAGATTGGAAAAATGTTGTATCTGTCAGACTGGTGGTGGAAAAACTATGTCCTGCCAATAATCCAGTTGTTTTCGCCAGTTGTTTCGCTTCGAAATAAAGGATATGGTACTTTAGCTTCTAATTTACTACTTTTAAGTAATTACAATCACGTACTTCCATCTGGAATGCAAATAAATTGTCTTAAAGGGGAAGGAGAAATTGAGAAAACATTAATCGAAAAAAAGAACTGTGGCACAAAGCATGCAACTTAAAATACATTTCACCAAAATTGGACATACATAACCTAATGAGGCAGCATGTTGCTGTGAGTCTCAAGAACAATCTCAGGCATCTATTTCGCATATTTCGCAACAAAGAGGGAAAATAATTCTGGTCGAGCAACAAGATCAACAACACCATTGGTAAATGTAAAAAAAGATGTTTGTGTCATATGCACTGAACCAGGTAATAAAAAAATGTCTTACATTTGTGTGCTACTGAGACAATATATAAAAAAGTGGAGCACTCTGCTAAAATTCTTGTTCATACGATTTGATAGCCCAAGAAGCCAAATACCATCTAAAGTTTTTGGCACGTCTATACAAAAGAAGAAAGAAGTCGTAATGTTAAAGATGAACAAGAAAATACGGTTATGTGTAAAAGTCTGGAAAGTATGTAAGTAATCTGGAAAGTATTATTGAGAATTGTAACTCCTATAATGTAGTAACTAAGGTGGGCGACAGCTGCAGGTCATCAACTGGCCGTTTTACCAACTTAGAAGGTGTATCCTGTGCCCAGCTGGACGAAGCAGATGGACGAATAATCATGCACGTTAAAGGCATGATTATTAACGGAGCCAAATCGGTGTTAATTCGTTGTGCTGACACTGACATTTTGATTTTAGCTATATCTTTTTTTCCTCAATTTAACCGCCTAGGCCTATAAAACCTCTGGTTGCTCCATAGCTCTTCAAAAAATTGCGATACATTCCTGTTCACTGTATTGTGGAATATTTTCGTGACAGAAAATCAGAAGCTCTACGCGGCTTTCATGCTTTCTCTGGATGTGACACTGTGTCTTTTCTGTGATCAAAGGGCTAACGGTCGGCTTGGAAAACTTGGACAGAAGATACAACAACTGCATTCCATGCAATATCTTTCCCCCGCAAGAAGTTAGAAGATAATGTGCTTCAACAACTTGAAAAATATGTGGTACGCCTATATAATGTTCTGTCTACTAATAACATAAACAGGAAAACACTTGTTTGCAACTGAAAATAGGCCACTTACGGTTATACCACCAACTCGAGCTGCTCTACATGAACACACATTAAGGGCAGTATACCAGGCGGGTCATATTTGGGGTAGAACTGACCAAATATATCAAGATGATCTACCTGCTCCACTTAGCTGGGGATGGAGGGTAAGGGAAAATGGGTACCACTGTGGTCGAAAAAAGCCCAAGTTTGGGAGTCATGCAGGTCACTCGATACGTGTGGGTGTAACACGCAATGTGAAACAATGCAGTGTTCCTGCAAAAACATGACTTACCTTGTACAATCGCCTGCAAGAACTGCAAAGGAGAATGCAGTAATAGGAGATAAACGATTCTGAAGAGAGTAAAAGTAAAAAAACTATTTTTTCTTGCAGCTCGAGATTTCAATGAATTTTAAATACCTAAGAAGCCAGCTTATACTTGTTTTTTATTGTTATTACGTAACTATAAATAAACTACTTAATTAAGATTAAATATAAACTTAATTTTTTTTATTACACCAAACGTTAGTCCCAGTTTCTAGAAGTGTAATATTGCCCAAATTGGTACAAAGAATCCTTGACGGCGCATCTAAGGGAGGGGGATAACATTCCTTCTCCCCCCATGGGTGCGCCCATGTTCTTGTCACAAATTTAATTACATTTTTCGTACCAAAACTTACAAAAATATCCAGCATTTTGGTCAGGATACGGTAATATGTTAAAGAATGAAATTTTGACACTTAAATATTACAGCCGTAGAGCCCTAACGCTAAGTTATACAAAATTGGCGTATTTTTTTTTGAAATCTTCATGTTCGAAAAAGACAATAAAATTAAAAAAATATTGAAATAAATTTGTGAAAGATTTTAACCCCTTAAAAAATAAATAAGGGTTGCAACCCTACCCCAACGGGTGAAATTTTAGGTGCTGCGGGTAAAATAGCTTAAAATGACTTATTAATCAACTATGCCAAGTTTCATGCTTTTAACCCAATTTGCAACGTTTTTTTTATGGACCGCATGTACTATTAATTAACATCGCTACTTTATTAGACAACCAAAAAAATCCTTAGAACAGTAGTTTACATAAAAATCTAGAACATCACATTTACACAAAGCCGTAGTTGCAGCAGACACAGGATATTCCCCATTAAATTTATCTGCAGACACTCAGTTCATGACAATATCAAACGAAGTAAAACACCAAACTTGGCTACAGAAAGCCTTACATGGGAGATATGCTCATGTCCTAAACGGTTCACATGTCGATAAAAATACATCGAACGCGTGGTAAACGTGTGGAAAATTGTTTCCCGAGACTGAAGGATTTATGTGCGCCATACAAGACCAGGTAATCAGCACTAAAAATTATAAAAAATATATAATAAAAGACGGTACAATAAACGATAAATGTCGACGCTGTAATACTGAAACCGAAAATATCCAGCACATAGTCTCGGGACGTCAAACTATTGCGAACACCGAACATAAGTCAAGGCATGATGATGTAGCAAAAATCTTACATGAGCCTTCAACTATCAATTATAACACCTTATTATAAATACTCACCGCAAAAAGTTTTGGAAAATGAAAAAGCAAATATTTATATAGGGATAGAGCCCTGATAACTGACAGAACCATCTCGCATAATAGGCCAGACATTACAGTTATTGATAGAGAGAGGACAGAAGAAGGTTTTTTTAATAGACGTTCCAGTGCTAGATTGTAACAGCTTGCAAGCTGCACAGAACGAGAAAATTCGTAAATATTCAGAACTTGTATTGGAAACAAAACAGTAATGGCATTTTGAGACTGTCATCGTGGTTCCTGTTGTATTATCTGCTACCGGAGTGATACCATACACGCTACAAGAGTCACTTACCATATTAAAAACTATTCCATCCGCTATCTATATCAGCTTACACAAGGCAGTAATATTGAAAACCTGTAGAATTGTCCGAAAATTCCTTGGCGGTATTTAGTAAATATTTGGATTTACCTTGGCATCGAGCCCGTAAATCCAAAGAAAACCAGTGAAAATTACTGAGATAAATGAAAATTAATAATCATAATATCATTTTTAATGCCTTTATTTCAAATTTGTTATACAAATTAAAAGAATTAAGTTTCGTAGAAAATTATAGTTACACAAAATTTTTACATTTATACAAAATAATCATTAGAACAATATTGTTCACTTTCAAGAAGCATTTTCTTAGTCTTTTTTGAATAGTTTTAAGCGTTCAATTGCCTTTAATCTTAAAGGTAGCTTATTAAAACTCTTTATGCACATGAGAGATATTCTGGATTCCTTTCAGTTAGTTCAAAGCGATACATAGGATGTAAAAGATACTCCGCTCTTGTGGTATACTGGTTTCTATTTGAGGCTTTGGAATAGACCTTTATTTTTATATACGAATATTAGACATTCGTATACAGGGTGGCCCATCGAAAACGTTCCGCAAGACATAACGGCCAGGATATTTTTTTTTTCAAAAAATCCAAAAACACGGCAATTTTGTTTGTGAGAGGGACAACTTTTGCCCCAAAAATGATTGCAAAATCTTCAACTCTCTAAGCGGGGGTGCCATCCCCCAACTTTTTTCAAATGGGAAGGGTCAAGTGGCGCCGCAATGAAAAGAGCTTTCTATTATCTATATTTCCCCGCTTCGTTTTTGAAAGGATTGAAATTTGAAAAATTTATTTAAACATTTATCAGAGTAAATGATACGGATAAATTCCTTCGACCAATTTGCTGTTTTTTCTTATTATTTCTAGATGTTTACGTATTTTTTCACTTGTCACAAGGTTGAACGATCAGGTGCGGTAGTTGCTAGATAGCTATTCTGTGACTTAGAAAACATTAATCGCTTTTAGACGCTCAGCGTATATGACGTTAATTTTTGCTTAGCGCGCACTTAACTACCGATTTGGGTATTCTCATTTGATGCGCATAGCATCTTTACCCTTGCGCTAAGCGATTTGAAAACAGCTACCTTAAAGGATCGTCTTCCTTGTGGAACTGTCAGTAAAAATAGAATAAATTGTGATTTTGTGCGTTCTCTTGTTCTTTAGTGAAAACTATTTCTTCTTGTATAAATTCCCCAATAAGTAATTGATAATTTACGACTTGGCAGCTAAAAATATTGTTCAAAACCTCGAGAATGCTGAGAAGCGTCTTCAACATTTCCCTCTTGTAATAAGAATTAATCACATATCCATAGAAAAATAGGTTGACATAACTCAACAATAGGTTATGAAGTTCACGTAATATTTGCATTTTTCATTGTTTTATCCACATTTGACTATTAGATACCTGAGAAATTGCGATGCTGCCAACCAGAAAATGATTCGCACGGCAACGAGAATACCAATATCGACTGTTTGGCGTTCCGCTAATCGAATACTTTCGCACCGCTTTGAAAGCGTAACATTTTTATGTAAAAGTTCCATAATTCGGGCCCAGGACCGCATATAAAATGCAAAACCAAAAATGTTTTCTATTTTTACAGTTTTATTCTGCTTAAATTACACTTATAAATATTAATAATACTTCAACAATACAACAAGACCTAATTTAAGTATATCTGTACACAGATATGATAAAAAAAAATAAGATCATTCAGAATTTAATGTAAAAATAGTTCGTCAAATGGAACTACCATTAAATATGCTCGTATGATTGTGGTTGCTGCCAGATTTATAACATTCGAAAATGCTGGACCAAGTTCAGTGACGGCATCTTGCGGATTGTCGTTTAATACATTGTTGATGTTGTCACCTAAAAAAAAGTAGTAATATACCGGGCGTTTTTTAAAAGTGACTCACCTCCATAAAATTTCTATTCTTTTCAGACAAAAAAAAACCTATTTGGTATGTTAGTATATTATACAGGGTTGTTCACTACATACGACACGAAGTATTGCAGCTAAACGATTAGATTTTTAGAACTTGTAAGTTTTGGGTTCGTTGAAGGACTATTAGAGCCACAATTTAAAAATATTTTTACAAGATACATAGTGTCCCAAATAAATAAAAAATATCAAAGTTGTATTTTTTTAAATGGAACACCCTGTATATTATTGCATTTTTAGTTTCTACGATTAAAATAAAGGTAAATTTGATTAAGGTTTATTGTGTTGCAATAATAAAAATTATACTACCTTATACAGAGTGTCTAAAAATTTATTTTAAATAATTACTAGCTTTAAATGGCAATAACTTGTTTAATTTAAATGGAACACCCTGTATATTTCATGAGAGTCAGATGCACAATTTAATTGTCTATCAAATTGTATTATATCACTTTTTACCTATCCCTTCAAGTTTTCGTAGAAAATCCATTTTCTCATAATTTAGACCTTATTTATCAATATACCCATGGAATATTGACATTTTATATTGTTTTTTAAATCAACAAATGTACAAAATGTTCAGGCTAGTAATATTATCGTTTTTAGAAAAACGATAATATTACTAGCTCATTTGTATGCAAAAAGAAAACTATTTAAACCTTTATAAAAGAGTATACCATTAATTAAATATACCACCAGTATTTCCGCCCAAATACTAATTAATTACATACTTAATTGTGTTCATTAATAAATTATTCTAAATAAATATGGATTTGAATCAGAAATCAATATAATAATAAGTTATGAAAATGAACGTCTCTGTTGTTAGAAATAAGCATTTGTCAAAAAATGAAATATAATTTTTAAGGTGTTATTTTTTTACTACACTGTCTAATACACATACATAATTCAGTTTTTTAGTATTTGGAGCAATAATTATTATTAATCAACGCAAACAGTCAATGTAGTTTGAATACTGGAATCATATTAATTGGTCCTCTTTAACAAATATTTAAACAGTTTTTTTATTTTTTAATGAAATAAACGAACTATATCAACAATATTAGTATCTGTACTCTTTAAAAATTATCTAAAATGTCAGTATTCCATGGGTATATTGATAAATGCGTTCTAAATTACAAGAAAATGCATTTTCTACAGAAAGTTGAAGAGATAGGTAAAAATGGTATAATACAATTTGATAGACAATTAAATTGTGCATCTGATTCTCATAAAATATACATGGTGTTCCATTTAAATTAAACAAGTTATTGCCGTTTAAAGCTAATAATTATTTAAAATAAATATTTAGACACTCTCTATAAAGTAGTATTTTATTTATTATTGCAACACAATATCTGATCAATAAATAAACTTCAGTAAATATTTAGTATTAAAAACTTTCATACCCTCGGAGAAATGAAGCCTTAAAATTTATACTGCAATTTCACAAAATTGAAAATATTTTAAAAACGGTAAGGTTTAAATGTAATAAACCTTAATTAAATTTACCTTTATTTTAGTCGTAGAAACTAAAAATGTAATAATATACAGGGTGTACTATTTAAAAAAATACAACTTTGATATTTTTATTTATTCGGGACACTCTATATGTTGTAAAAATATGTTTAAATTGTAGCTCTAATAGTCCTTCAACGAACCCAAAACTTACAATTTGTAAAAATCTAATCGTTTAGCTACAATATTCCGTGTCGTATGTTGTGAACAACCCTGTATAAATCACGACTGATTGACGTTTTCAATTATTTTCGGTCACGACCTGTTTAACCGCAAATTACTACAACTTTTGATTTTCAAACAGTACTCTCGTTTTTTTTTAGTTTATTTGAGAGAAAATGACATTGAATGAATCGAATGAACAGAATGACATATGTTGAGTTTGTTCATTTTCACAAAGTGGTGGCCCATGGTAAAAAACTTAATGTTAAAATCAAGAACAAAGTCCAAACCACTGTCAAAAAAATTCTTTATTCGTGACCGGTTTCGGCAATTCCAGCCATCATCAGACCTTTGTCAAAAACAGATGTTCGTTTAATTTTATACGTATATCGTTTAACTTTATACGTATATCGTTTAACTTTATACGTATATAAAAAAATGGTACATATAGTATTCTTGCCTTGAACTGCTAATATAGAAATTAATTCCACACTATATTTGTCATAATGTGGATCAACCTCTTATCACGTCTAATAATCCTGATATATGTCATATACTAACGTACCAAATCTCGTTTCTTTTTCTGAAAAAATAAAACCGTTATAGGGGTGAGCTACCTTAAAATAAGAGTTTTTTAAGATTTTTTTAAGAATTGGATAAAGCATTAGATAACTCTCGAATGAGTAGATACGGTGTAGTTGCAGCAGATTCAACATATTATAAAGTTTTAATACCTATACCATCCTATACTATGTGTTGCAGATGTTAAAAAAATTTAAAAACTGATTTTTATTAACTGTTTTAACTGTTAAGCAATAGGTATATCACAGATAGTTTTATACCTAGTACAATATTAAGTCGCGTCCCAGCGATTTAAAAATCGCAATCACAGTTTCAATTCACATCACAGAACAGAACAGATTTGTTTGAGAAAGGGGAGCACACAACAAAAAACAACAACTATGTTGTACAAATAGAATTATTCGACTTATAAAACTTTATAAAGCACAAATAAAGACATATTTTTTTACTTAGAAAGTAGAAATTAGTTATGAGTATTCTTTAATATTTTCATTCAAGGAGATGATACTTTTTTTAAGGACAGTTAATTTCCAATAGCTACAGAGTGATAAGAAATTTAGATATCAATTCAAAATACGAAAAGTTTAGTCAAAAGTCAACTTTTGTTATTTTCAGAAGCCTCCTTTTTGAAAATATCTGCAATGGAGGCTTTTAATTATGAAATATGCAGTAAATGCATATTTATACAGTAAATACTAGTAACAGATATTATTTGTCACTATTATATATCCTATTTTCTGTAATTTTTTGGATCTTTTCTGTGGAATTCTTCTCTGACTAGTTAGACTAGTTGAATAGCCTTTAGTTTTGCATTTTCAGAAGCCTCCATTTTGTAAATATCTGTAATTGAGCAGTAAAATCTAGTGACAGATAATATCTATTTTTTTCTAATTACTTATATATCTGATTTTCTATCATTATTTTGGATCTCTTCTATGGAATGGAATGGAAAATTCTATAACTAGTTGAATAGCCGTTAGTTTTGGACAATGGAAATTCGTTTTTGGATTTGCGTTCTACTTACCTAGCTGTTTATTGCCGTTGAACAAGTTCTCAAAATTAAAATGTGCCTTGTTTATTTTGAAAGATATATCGGGTCTAATATTTGTAATATATTGCTTGCCATCTTTTCTTGTTATCAGATCGTAATCGAAGGAATAGTTGAATGTACAATCACCTAAAAAATATGCAATATTAGGAAATATTTAAGAAATATTTAGGAAATATTTAAAAGATATTTAGGAAATATTTAGGAAACATTTAGGAAATATTTAGGAAATATTTAGGAAATATTTAGGAAATATTTAGGAAATATATACAGTAATGGCCTAAACTTGTTAACACAATAAATCAAGTCACAATATAGATTTAATGCGTTCATAAGAACCAAAAAATTGATATGGATTAAGCAGTCGATAAATTACTGTAGCAATCGTAAGTCTTTATTTAACTTAATTTTTTAAAAGATCTTGAGCTGTAAACTTTATTGAAATGGATCCGAATATCTTATATTCAATTAAGAGTTACTTAAAAAAAGAAAGAAGAAAGATTAACTTAAAAATGTCGAGAATGGAAAATAATCCAGGAACACCTTGTATACGGATTTAAATTTAATTTTTGTAGGAGTATTTTTACATTTTCTTATTTATCTATTTTGTTTTAATCTTCTAAGGCACTAATATCTTGTTAGTCAATTAATATTATCTTAAAATTTGTAAACAATCATCTAATACTATTGATGACGTAAACATAGTAGTTATTTAAACAATTCCAAAAACTAAGAAATATTTTCTAGAGGTAGGTCTTTGTGGAATATTTAAATTATACGCATTTTGATTTGGTTTGGATGATATCATCTTTTGTTATTCTAGTTTATTTTATTTTAAGCCATTTAAATAATTCAAATTAATTACTTTAAACAAAATTATAATTTAAATAATTCTGCATTTATTAAAATCACTGTATATTTAAGATATGTTTCCGGTTATGACTAACTATATGTATATTATTTTTATAGTAAATTAATATCTTCAAACTTAAGGCTATATATAAGAACTAATAACAACCAAACCAAATCATAAGTACCAAAAATTGTTGTGCCTTTATAAATTTAGTTTTTAATTACACCTACATTTCCATTATTATTATTATTATTTATTATACAGTGTGAGTCTTAAATAAGTGCATATATTTTCAGGGCTAGTAGATCTCGATAAAAAAAACATATTTTCTTTACCGTTCTGCAAATAAGTCCAAAATAACCGAGTAATTTTTCTTTGAAAATTTCGAAAAAAGTAAGGTTTTTGCGTAAATTTTGAGAACCACTGTATCTTTTCTGGGGTTTCTTTCTTGTAAATTTAATCTACTACCTATGTTGTCATATTAACAAGAAATTATGTTTTTAACTGAAAACTAAAAAAAATCCAAAAAAATTTTCTACTCACCCTGTGTAAAAAAGTGTAGTATGCTTTTACTTATGGTATGAGTAAAGTATGAGGTACAGTGTGCATCAAAAATGTCAATAACTAGCTGGACAAGTTTATTTTCAATGCAGTTTATTAAGATCACAAGATGTAAAGCAAAATTATCTAGTTAAGTTAAATTAAATATAATAATAATACCCTTTTAAACTATGTTTAATTATGTTAAAAGGGCTAGAAAACATCTTTGTATAGCATCTTTAGTTTCATAAAAAAGTAGCATAGTAATATAAAAAGAGCATTTTATACATCTACACATAAATGAGATACCATGTAAAACACATGAAAACAAATATGAAGTTAAAAATATTTTATAAAACAAAGCTTCCAATTTTGTTATGTTTTCTGGTTTTTGCATTTCTTACTGAATTTCGAGATTTTTCAAAAAGTTGTACTGAGGCATCGAATCTAATCTTTTCATTCTGAATTCAGTACAAAATTGTACTGAAACAGCAACACTTCTTAATATGAAATATGAAGCATATCCATTTTTTAATAACGGCTCTTGAATTCGGGTAGAAATGTCAATGCTGATTTACCAAAGATATGTTAGATATAAAATTTCGAAAAAAAATTCCGAGGCTACTAAAGTTAAGATTGTCAACATCCTTGATTTCAGATTCCCTTGAGTTCGCAATTCTTTATCACAAAACTCGTCTAATCGAAACGAGATTTCTTGTGACATTGTTAATTGGGAATATTTTGCAATATGCATCGAAAAATAAATTGCAAAATTACTTTATAAGTCAATGTCATTAGCATGAAATAACGTTTAAGATATATATAGGAAATGCAGGCAGGTTATATCATTAAAAGATACATACCAAACTCCAAATTGGTCTTTCCGTCACCTTTAATAGGTAGTACTAAAAGCTGTCCATCCATATTGTAATGGGAGTCAAGTTTAATTTGTTCGATATAAACTACTAAATCAATGTGTTTCTTATCGAAGTCGATCCTAAAAAAATTATATAAATATTAATTTAACGACAGAAGGGAGTTTTTAAGTTAGGATGTATTAATATAAACCATATCATATCACTAGACTTTGTCACCCTAGAATTAGGTTGTTCTATATCCACTTTTGGGGTAAAATGAGTTACATACACCATTTTTTTATGCAGAATTAGCTTGTTCTATATCCACAAACACAATATAGCCAAATTCACAAATAAAGAAAAAAAATCTAATATTTTGTACTATATCCATATTAATTTGAAAGTCGTGGAACCATATAATGGCCTACATCCTACAGTTTGTAATAAAAAAAAATAGAATTATTATGTTCTTTATCCTAAGAAGTGGATATGGAACGAAAATACCAGATGAAAAAATATGTTACTATGCATAAAAATTAGATTGTTCTATATCCATTTATTCTCGATCTCTTTCTCTCTAACATACAATGGATGTATCTGTTTTTATTTAAATTTAAGGTTTTTGTTTTAAGCGGGGTGAAATTGCACCACTAAACGTTCGTTTGACAAATAGGCGGCAAATCGGTTCGTTTGAAAAGCACTGATTGCCTGATTTGTTAACAAATTCGAATGTTTCACACTTTAGAATTTCATGACACCAGCTGCCTCAACTCAATTGACTGCTCAATCGTTCATTTGAAAAGCACTGATTGCCTGATTTGTTAGCAAATTGGAATGTTTCACGCTTTGGAATTTCGTGAAACCAGCTGCTTCAACTCAATTGACTGCTCAATCGTTCGTTTCAAAAGCACCGATTGCATGATTTGTTAGGAAATTCGAATGTTTCACACTTTGGAATTTCGTAAAACCAGCTGCTTCAACTCAATTGACTGCTCAATCGTTCGTTTCAAAAGCACTGATTGTCTGATTTGTTAGCAACTTCGAATATTTCACACTTTGGAATTTTGTGAAACCAGCTGCTTCAACTCAATTGACTGCTCAATCGTTCGTTTGAAAAGCACCGATTGCCTGATTTGTTAGGAAATTCGAATGTTTCACACTTTGGAATTTCGTAAAACCAGCTGCTTCAACTCAATTGACTGCTCAATCGTTCGTTTCAAAAGCACTGATTGTCTGATTTGTTAGCAACTTCGAATATTTCACACTTTGGAATTTTGTGAAACCAGCTGCTTCAACTCAATTGACTGCTCAATCGTTCGTTTGAAAAGCACCGATTGCCTGATTTGTTAGGAAATTCGAATGTTTCACACTTTGGAATTTCGTAAAACCAGCTGCTTCAACTCAATTGACTGCTCAATCGTTCGTTTCAAAAGCACTGATTGTCTGATTTGTTAGCAACTTCGAATATTTCACACTTTGGAATTTTGTGAAACCAGCTGCTTCAACTCAATTGACTGCTCAATCGTTCTCTAATACTATCAATACTAGAGATAGCTTAAAAAATTTAAATAATCCAATACAAGTTAAAAATCAGATTTAAAATCTGATTAAGTTTATTCTAACACTATACATACCAAATAAGCGGAAAAAAAATGATAGTTTTTAATAAACAATGCAGACGAATAATTACTTGTATTTTAGTTATTTTTTAGGTTGTTTTTAGTTAACGTCTTAATGTCTCCACTTCAGTTATTTTGTGTTGAAATAATATTTTGAAATTACAAATCAATCAGCTTAAAATTAGTATTATATTATTCTATATCCCCTTATTTTGTTCTATATCCCAAAAATCGGCTCAATGCACAGCTAATTTGTTCTATATCCAAATTCAACATTTGTTCTATATCAATATTAACATTTTTGTTCTATATTAATATTAACATTTGTTCTATATCCAAATCTAAAATCACTAATATCTTTTAAATAAAGCTTCTAAAAGTAAAACAAATACATATGTTTGATAGGTTTTTATATTACCTTTAATTTATATGTTTAATAGAACCATTTTGGTATAGACTCGTTATTTTCTATTCGTAAAAATCATCAAATCAAATAAACTCGAAAAATTGGTACAAACTGAGTGATATAACAATGAAAATTGATGAATCTAAAAAAGTCAATTCAAGAAGTGTATATGCGGTACCTATGAACTAACAAATATTCAAGAATATTCTGATACATTAATGTACCTACTTTGCTTATTGTTCCTTAAATTAGTATTAATATGTACCTAATTTTTATTTAACATTTGTATAACAAAGACAAAAAACAAAATAAGGTATTAGGTATCACTTGATTTGTTTTAAGAATTATAGGATTAAACATACATGTTTATTTTATTAAAAATATAAACAATTACCAAATGTCTCTTTTTGACTTTTTAAAGGAAATTAATACATAAAATAATATTATTTGCTTAGTTATCTGCAAAATTCAATATAGAGAATATTTTTGCAAGAATGTGGCCACAAATGGATGTAAATGTGGCCACATTTGGCACAAGGTGGCCACAAATGGGAAAAATCGTATGTTTTCATAAAATGCTTATTTTCTGTTTATTAAGAATACAGATCTTTACAATAAAAGCAGACTTTGAAAGAAAAATGTTTGGAGAAGCACCAAAAAGTTTGTTTTATCTCCAAAATTAACTACAAATATTTTTTCTGATAAGTCAAACTCTAAAAATCCCTTTAACCTGGCCACAACCGGTGCTTCTACCCTATAGTGTTCACGGATGTCCAGTTTAAACTTTAAACCTTGTTAAAGTTTCATCGAAATGCTCTATAGAACAATCTTATTCTAGGGTGACCACTTGTGGACTTTGAATATAAATATTAACGAAGGAGCATATCAAAATCTTAGATCAAACGCGACGGGCTCCTAAGAGACAGCAGAGACAACAGAAATGGACGCCATTGGAATTTCACGGAAGGATCAAATCAGAAATGAAGACATTATATGAGAGATGGGAATAGAGGGAACAATAGTGAATGATATAGAACAAAAACAATTGATATGGTACAGCCACGTTTAGAGAATGCACAATGAAAGAATTCCAAAACAAGTATTTCATTGAATACCACCTGGTAAACGAAAGAGAGGACAAAAAGTCCAATAAATCTATATAAATAATACCAACTATAATGTATAGGTACCTAGGATAACTTTGATTTCAGGGCATTTTCCTTTATTTTTAATATTTCTTTTTAAGAAAGGTTGATTTTCTTTAATTTATTTATAATTATTTCCGAAACTATCAAAACATATTTAATAATACTTTGGGATTATATAAAGTGGTCAGAATGGAAGCCAAAAATGCAATAATATACAGGGTGTTCCATATAAAAAAAATAATCTTGATCCACTCACACTTCTTTGCACACTTCTTTACACTTTGCGCCGCGCCGCGACGCCACTATTACCGAACCCTGTATAAAACACATTGTATATAGATAAATGCACTGATCTTTTTTAGGCGCTTACATACATGTTTCTTTTTTATAGAATGACGGTAATGAATGTGGATGTCAGCGATTAAGTACACGTGTTTATTAATAGTAGCACTTAAATTGTTTATAGAATAAAAAAGGAAATATACAGGGTGAGTCTTAAATAAATAAGTGCAAATATTTTTAGAGGTAGATTATTTCGACTACAGAAACATTAGAAAATTTTCGGTTTAAAAAAAAATTGAAAATTATTTTAATTTTTAATTAAAAAATATAATATCTTCATAGTATGGCAACATAGATAGTAGATTAAATTTACATGAAAGGAAACCCAGAAAAGATCCAGTGGTTCTCAAAATTTAAGCAAAAAATCAGTTTTTTTTTTTAAATTTTTGAAGTAAAATATCGGTTATTTGAGACTTATTTGAAAAACGGTAAAGAGAAAATATGTTTCTTTTTTAAGGATCTATCTATAAGAATTTGGGGGCTATCTAAAAATATAATTAAACTAAATGAATCGTTGTGAGTAAAGTAGATGTCGCATGTCGGCGAGACCTAATTATTGTTGAATGCAGAAACGTTGGAGAGAGTGGCGAAGTTTAAAAACCTAGGCTGTTGGATTAACCAACATATCGATCCTTTATACGAAATCAGATGTCGCGTAGAACAAACAAGAAATGCATTTTTTTCAAAGTTTTATGTGTGGTCGATTCGTTTGTATGGATGTGAGACGTGGACACTTAATAAAGAAACGTTAAATAAAATCGAAGCATTTGAAATGTGGACATACAGAAGAATGCTTAAAATATCTTGCACTACCAGAACCAGAAATGAAGAAGTTCTTCGAAGAATGGACCACGATAGACTACTTCTGAATATTATCAGGCGACGAAAACTTGAATACCTTGAGTCTATGAGTTTCTCCGACTGATCCTTAACGGAAAAATCGAAGGACAGAAGTGGTTTGGGCGCAAGAGGCTTTCCTGGTTGAGGAACTTGCAGCAATGGACAGACTTGAGCGCGGATGAATTACTTCCATGTAGTGCAAGATCGAGAGCGATACAGAGATATTGTTAACATGGCAGTCGTCAACGTTCACTAGGAAAATAGCACTTGAAAAAGATAGAGATCTACCAGCCCTGAAAATATTTGCACTTATTTAAAACTCACTCTGTATAAGGAAAAATAAAAGAAGATAAATAAATGAATGGAAAATACTCGACCTATAGCAAGATAGATTAACTCTTTATCCAGTATGTCAAAAACCGAGTCAAAAATTGTGTCAACCTGTTGTTAAAAAACTGTTATTCTATGTGTCATTTTATGCTTAACTATTGTAGCGAAGAAAATCACATACTAAAATTAAGTTACTGACGCCAACTTTACAAAATCAATCAATTAAGCATCAGAAAGTGATGTTGAATTATGAATTTGATGTTTCTTTTATTTTGATTAATATAAGATTAGATATTTAAATATTAAGGAATATTTAATAGTTAATAAGGTTCATAGGAGACCAAATATTATAATAATTATAATATATAGAGTTCATACAAATCTATGAAGATGATATCAAGTACACTCTATGTGTCCGAGAGATCAAAAATCACATAAAAATATCTTTGAAAAAAAAATCTGTTAAAAATGGATGGTACTTCAATGATGTTAATACAAGAGCTTATTGGAAATAAGGAATTGCACACAGTTGTGCTATATCTAGTTCAAAATATTATTAGCATGAAAAATGAAAACATTAAGGTGCGTATTTACTATCCGAACGAACGAACGAACATTCGTTGGTTCGTTCGGTAGTAGTATGGACGGGACCGAATTTTAGAACTGAGCGAACAACATCTACCCATTCGTTTTTGAACTCCTTTGATGTACCGACTCGAAACGGATGGTCGAGCAAACGAACGAACAAATATACCGAATTGCATTCGTTCGCTCGTTCGTTCGTTCGTTTGTTCGGATAATGAATACGCACCTTTAGAGCAGATGTTTTCTTTAAGAAGTAAAAATCGATAAAAAAAGATCTTTAATATTATATGATTTTAATATTTGCTTAATAGACGGAGAGCTGGCTACATAAAAAACCTTATCATCGTTACATGGCTAATTTTTTTTGTGAAGTATCTTTTTGTGTAGCCATTATGAAATAGTCATGTCTGCCAGCGCAATCCCGGAGCTTAAAGCGGGGGCGGCCAATCAAAAGGGTGAAATTTTGACACTAAAAATATTATAAGGTACACGAGTTGTAATTGCCAAATAGCTTTTATTTATTATTAAAAACGTGTAAAATTGTTGACAGACATTTTTCTCGTGGCTAAAATGCCGGCAGACAACACGAAAGAGGCATGGAATTTTGGCAACAAAATCATCGCATACATGCATGTCGATTGGTGGAATGTCATGTTTATTGTTTATTTATCTAAAAAGCCGTATGCAAAAGGGTAGACAATAAAATCGTGGCTCAATCAGCGGTAGAGAGTTATCAAAAGCGCGATATTACTCTACAGGGTGAATCTTGAATAAGAGCAAATATTTTCAGAGCTAGTAGATCTCAATAAAAAAACATATTTTCTTTGTACCGTTTTCCAAATAAGTCCAAAATAACTGAGTTATTCAAGTTTAAAAATTTAAAAGGAAATTGATTTATTTTTAGCCACCTGTTTTTTTCTGTATTTGCATTCATTATTTTAGTGTGCAGCCATAGACTAAAACCGTAAGCATGGTAGGTTAAGAAATAATTATACCGTGGGTAAATTTGCGGTAAACAGGCAGTTGTAAAAAGTTTTCTAAAATATACGGCTAAAATGCCGGCAGACAACACGAAAGAGGCATGGAATTTTGGCAAAAAAATCATCGCATACATGCATGTCGATTGGTGGAATGTCATGTTTATTGTTTATTTATTTAAAAAGCCGTATGCAAAAGGGCAGACAATAAAATCGTGGCTCAATCAGCGGTAGACAGTTATAAAAAGCGCGATATTACTCTACAGGGTGAATCTTGAATAAGAGAAAATATTTTCAGAGCTAGTAGAGCTCAATAAAAAAAACATATTTTCTTTTTACCGTTTTCCAAATAAGTCCAAAATAACTGACTTATTCAAGTTTAAAAATTTAAAAGGAAATCGATTTATTTTTAGCCACCTGTTTTTTTCTGTATTTGCATCCATTATTTTAGTGTGCAGCCATAGACTAAAACCGTAAGCATGGTAGGTTAAGAAATAATTATACCGTGGGTAAGTTTGCGGTAAACAGGCAGTTGTAAAAAGTTTTCTAAAATATACAGCAAAATTTATCAAAAATACACGATCTTCTTTTGCGAAAAAAAACTCATAGACGTATTCCTGGGGTCGAAATATATCACCCTTAAAAGTACTTGCACTTATTTAAGACTCACACTGTATAATCATTTTTAAGAAACGCTCGCCGCGTTATTAATTGAAACATAATACATGTAAGTCTACAAAAATTTTACGGTCGACTGAGAGGAAGATTCGTTTGTGAGAGCGAGGATCTGCAGTACGATTAGTAAAATACAAATAGTGAGACAGAATAGCAAATATATGATATTTGTTATTGAAATAATAAAAAAAATATATTTAGTTTTTATTAAAATTTTAATTTTTTAAAATATATTCATTTTATATTTTTTTTAATATAGGTACTTAAATGGATGGATTTTACGGTCGACTGAGAGGAAGATTCGTTTGTGAGAGCGAGGATCTGCAGTACGATGAGTCAAATACAAATAGTGAGACAGAATAGCAAATATATGATATTTGTTATTGAAATAATAAAAAAAATATATTTATTTTTTATTAAAATTTTAATTTTTTTAAAATATATTTATTTTATATTTTTTTTTAATATAGGTACTTAAATGGATGAGGTGGCGAGCGTTCCGTGAAAGCGCTAGAGTAATATCGCGCTTTTGATAACTGTCTGCAGCTGATTTAGCTACTATCTTTTTATCTGCCCTTTTGCATACGGCTTTTACAATAAATAAATATGACATTCCGCCAATCGGCATGCATGTATGCCAGAATTTTTTTCATTCACCAAATTTAATTTTTTAATAATTTTTAAAATTTGATGCCTCTTTCGTGTTGTCTGTCGGCATTTTAGCGACTAGAAAAATGTCTGCCAACAAATTTCCACGCTTCTTAATAATAAATAAAAACTATTTTCGCAATTATAACTCGTGTACCTTATAATATTTTTAATGTCAAAATTTCACCCTTTCGATTGGCCGCTTTAAGCCCCGGGATCGCGCTGGCAGACGTGACTATTTCATAATGGCTACACAAAAAGATACTTTACACAAAAAATTAGCCATGTAACGATGATAAGGTTTTTTATGTAGCCAGTAGTTAGACTCTAACATTATTTTTGATTTTACTTACTTTGCGTCTTTTAAAATGGCATTATTCAAACCATATATTTTGCAATCGGTAAAAAGGAGTTTCAGCTGGCTGCTTGGATTCAATTCGATTTTTTCCAGTACCCATGGATTCAAGCTCGGACTGCCAAAAGCTGGATCACCTAAAAATATTTTATAATTATTGTAAATTACAAAAATAAATCTTAACAAATTGATTGTTATTTATACAGGCTAGTCCGAACTGTATTTCGGAAACTTCGGCAGCATATTCTGCAGATAAAAATTTTGAAAAAGCAATCAAAAGATAATTAACGCTGCTAAAAGACTATCAAAATGTTGATCTAATAACAATTTGACGTTTATACTATTACGTCAAAAGCAACTTTTTTCCAAAGCCTACCATGACTTCACTGAATCATCGTTTCTTGTTCACTATTATTAATATCGTAGAATGGGTATAATCAAGATAAATAAGGCATAATACTTATACCGTGTTGTAAAAGAAAGTTAATTAAGGGCTTATCTTTTGGTATTTATTATAATTTTGCCAATATCTTCGGTTTGAAAGAAGATATCGAGATGCGGTTTTCGCTTACTTTTTAAGCGTTTACTACTCTTTACTATCAACTAGATGAAATTAATTACCAGATCAATGTTTCCTACAAGGGACGCTCTACAACTAAATCAGGAAACCTATCAAAAAGAGCTTGAAAAGAGACTAAAGCCACAGACACTCAGAGATCAAGACCCCAACGACATTCTCAATAATCTAAGGCAGAGCATAACTACAGCAACAAAGAAAATATGTAGTAAAATGATACACTGGCACTGGAAAATATTTACACTGGCACTGGAAAATGTCTTCAAGAAATTAGAATGGGAAAATAGAGGTCTAAACATCGATGGGGTACACCTTAGCCATCTGAGGTTCGCAGACGATATTGTCTTGCTGAGCACCGACATTCAAGAACTAAACACCATGCTAAATGAGCTAAATGAGCAATCCCAGAAAATTGGCCTTAAAATGAACTTGAAGAAGACCAAGATAATGAGCAACAATATCCATAACATTACCGTGGACAACGTTCTTATTGAAAACGTAGACCATTATATATATTTAGGTCATAAAATCAAGCTGGGCAAGGAAAACCAAAATACGGAGATCAAACGCAGGATCCATTTGGCATGGGTAGCATTTGGAAATATGAGCAATATTTTCAAGGATAAAAAGGTGCCCATGAACCTAAAGAAAAAGGCTTACGACAGCTGCATTCTACCTGTGCTTACGGGGTTAGAGACTATGGCAATTACTCGAAAAACAGCAGAACAACTACGAGTAGCACAAAGAGCCATGGAAAGAATCATGTTGGGAGTCACCATTAGGGAAAAAATACGGAACACCCACATACGTCAAAAAACAAAATTAATAGATGTCGTTAAAAGAGTGGCAAGTCTGAAGTGGCAATGGATAGGACATGTGGCAAGACAGGATCCAGACCGATGGCCCCAAAAAATAATCCTATGGAGACCTAGGGGAACAACAAGAAGTGTGGGCCGACCAAAAAAGAGATGGGTCGATGACGTCAGGGCAGTGGCGGGAAGACAATGGATAAGATTGGCTAGAGATCGCGAAGCATGGAAAAACCTAGAAGAGGCCTATATCCAACACTGGATGGAACCAGGCTGAGAAAGAAGAAGACTATCAACTAAAGTTACATATACTATTGCATTTAATTTTTTTGAAAAAACGCGCAATATTTGTTAAATTGTAAGACAAGGCCCCCTAGCGTCTACGTTCAAAAGCTTATTATTATTGTTTATATGGTACAATATAGAGTAAGAAACGCTCTTTTAAACGAGCCCTCGCCTGCTGGATTCCGATCATCCAGTCCAGAGTTATTAATATTCAAATCAAAACAGATCTGACCTTCCCCCACCACTTTATTTTGGTAGATAGGGGAAAATGGCTCTAATAAAAAATATTCAAAATTTACTGAAGATTATGGAGTTGTTACTTATCGTACACCTTATCTAGGCAAAATTGTGTAAAAACTCCATTTTCTTATTTTTTGTTGCAGTTGCGCCCCCTAGCGGTCGTTCTACAAACTTGAAAATAATTTCCAGCAATTTCCCATATCTTCTTTAGTTATAAATATTTTTTTCCGCAGCCGCTACGGCTAATACTTTTCGAGATACAGCCGAGAGATATTCTTAGTAGGACACCCTGTACATATGTGACCAATCGTGTTGAAGCCGTTTCTAAATCCTACTTGTTCCCGTGGTTGTGCAGCGTCTGGCGTGTTTTGTATTCCGTTATTTATTATTTTGGTGTATATTATCTTAAATGTATTTTAATTATTGTGTATTATTAGTGCTTATATATGACTTATTTATATATTCTTATTGAAGCAGTTGATAAATTAATGCCTTTCTTCCTATATTTGTAGTATTTACTATATGTATTATTGCATTTTCCTATAATATAAATGACTGTGTTGTTTTAAAATTTAACTCCATTTATAATATGAATATTTATGCATTTTTTTCAATATGCATTAAAAAGGTTATTTGCATATAAATTGACAGTCCATAACATAGTATCAATTATTAATTTTGGTTTCAACTAAATGTATAATAACTGTTCATTTGTTAAAAAATATATAGATTAGTAAAAAAGAGGATATCCATTTAAGATTAATCAATCATTTAGAATATGCTAATTAATAAAAAAAAACATAAACACAGCTCTGCAAACAATCATTTGTGAAAGGTATTAATTACAGCTGTAAAAAGTGTTAATAGGCATTGCCATTTGTTAACATAAATTATCTTCTTGAATACATTTAGTGTACAGCAATAAAGAATTTAAAAAAATATGTACATTTTAGGTTATAAATACTTTAATACTAAAAACGATGTCATTAACTGGGAAATGACGGTCTTAGATGGTTATGGCATTTATTAACAATAAAATTTTAGATGTAAAATGACCACAACCTTTATTTCCAAGCCAACTCTGGTGCCGTTTTTTACTCTAATGTATGGTATTTACAGATATGTTATTTTATTATGTACATGATACTATAAATACCGTATGATTGAGTAGAGGTGCCCGGTGGCGTAGAGGTACAGGCTCTCGTCTACCAATCTCAAGGTGTGGGTTCGATTCCCACACCCGGCATTTCATCAGCCGACTATTTTTATTTAAATAAAAATAGTTTGGGTGCCTAGGTCGACTCAGCCTTAAATGAGTACTTGGGATTCACAATCCTGAAGTAATAATAGGCGGTTGAAGCGTAGTGCTAGCCACATTACCTTCCTTGTATACCGAACGGCTCTAGTATAGCAAGCTGTACCTTGCTACTCCCAAGGCCTTAAACGCTATATACGGGAGCTATTATTATATATGATCGAGAAAAAACGGCGTCAGCGATGGCTATGGAATGAAGATCGCTGTCATTTTATATATAAATTTATATGGGAAATGTCATCGATGTTCATTTCCCAGCCAACTGGACGCCGTTTTTTTTCGGTCATACGGTATTTATTAGTAAATAATATTTTCTGGCCTTTAGCTGTGTATTTTTTCTAATTTCGAAAAATCAAATAAAAAGAAAATTGTTTTGCTTGTCCTAAAGGGGGGAACCAAACTCCACACCCACAACCGGTTTCTGGGCCTACACTTCATCAGGTGGGCTTTCCAAGGGCTGGTTCTCACCGACACGGCAAGCAAAATTCTTTCTATATCAACAGACGATGTCGTAAAGTGTCGGTGAGATATTAGTGCATCTCCCGTCAAAAGATGGTAAAGAGCGTTGTAAGAATTTTGTTCATTTCATAAATATTTATTAGATGATATCAATATTTTATTTTTTACTTTATTTTTTATTTAATACTTTATATTTTTTGAAAATTTTATAATATTAGTAAAATTTGATTATGACTTACTATTAGTTCAAAAATATACCGGGTGGTGCATCGTCGTTGGAAACATAGGAAATCCAATGCAAATTTTGAACTGTCCAACAGGTAGCAATGCAAAATCAGTCAAATGTCAACATACCTGAAGTTGTCAACATATGATTTTATCATTGTTAAATGTAATGTGTTGTGCTGTCTATGCTGCTACGTTATAGTACCTGCGCTTAGTGTCCCCGAAATGTATTTTTGTAAACTGGTTCGAGTAAGGCAAAAGCCTAACGTTTAGAAAATACAATTTGACATTGACAAAATAATGGGACAACTTAACCCTTAAGTACTAACATATTGAAATAGTCGCGCCTGGGCAACGGCCCAGCTACGTCGAACCACCGGTTCCCATTAGAACACCGAAGTTAAGCGACGTAAGGCGATGCTAGTTGATGGACGGGTGACCGGTTCGAAACTTTGCATCGTGCTGTTGTCCAAGGGAAAAGTGTAAAATCTATTGATACACACTGCTCATTCACGCCGGTTCAAGGCCGGATGAGATCGGATATCTCGTGAGTAAGAGTTAATTTAGACACTTCCTAAGTCGGTAGGCCATTGACCATGATATGGCCGAGGACCGCGGTTCGGATTCCGCGTAAACAAAGTAGGTCCCGTCCAGTTTAGCCATTGCAGCAGAAAGGAGACGTTAACTTGAACCTCACAAATAGTCGCGCCTATACTAACAGACCGTCTGAGAGACGCATTAAAAAAATCATATTTTGTTCGTGTCTAACAGATTTTTTGTAAGTGGAGTGAATCATTAGCATTAAAACTACAGGAAAAAAATATCTAATGCTTATATTATGCGAACATGTTTTATATTTTTGAAATAAAAGTACTAATTTTGGATTTTTGACATATCTTTGTTTCTCATCGAGATAGAAAAAAAAGCGAAAGGAAAATGAAAAAATATATTGATTATTATATTTAGCATATAAAAACCTATCTATTAAGCACAAAAAAGCAAAAGAAAATATAAAGAATAAAAAAATGACAATGCCTAAAGATGGGCTTGTGTCCTACACACTTTTTTGCGCATTCCAAACAAATTGTTCTCTTCACTTTCTTCGATATTAGTTTACTGATCGTTCACATCCATATTTTCAGCATCTATATTAAAACATACACAGCTACATACCATTAGATATTAGTTAAAAACCGTTTTTTTTACCTTCTTAATTCGAATTCAGAATTATGATCGCTCACTATGGCAAAATTTTCCCCACATTCGGATTCTTTGTCACTTATTTTGCTATTATCGCTGCTAGTCCCTTCAAACCACTTTAGAAGAGTATCCTTGTAATCTTTCTTGCCATACTTTACATGTTTTGAGCTACTAGGTTCTTGATTCATTCCACAAATTTAAAAAAAAACTTACGTTAACGCTAACACTCCGTCTGTCAGACGGCATCGACAGTTTGAACTAAAATATTTCGAAAACTACACACTTTCGCAAATTGCCCTGCCGGCCTTTAACTTGTTTTGATGCGTATTGAAATTACATAGTTGGATGATAATTAGAAGTGGAGAGCAGAGGAGATGTCATATGTCCAGCTAGTCCGTTGCGTCTGTGAGACGGGGTGTTAGTACTTAAGGGTTAAGGTACCTACGTTGGCACTTGCCTGGTTTTGCATTGTTATCTGTTCAGCTTTAATTTCAAAATAGATGCTTAGATTTAAATTATGCAGATAAAAATTATTTATTTAGATGTAATTCTTAAATTACTTAAAACCGGCTTGTTCAAAATTGTTCAAATTTGGCATGTGTATTCAGCATACACAGACTTTGTTACAACCTATTTCTATGATACTTAATTAAGCGCAAATATTTTCAGGGCTGGTAGATCTCGATAAAAGAAACATTATTTTCATTTTACCGTTATTCGAATAAGTCCAAAATAACCGAGTTATTTCATTTTGAAAATTAAAAAAATGTTCTGCTTAAATTTTGAGAACCACTGGATCTATTCTGGGTTTTCTTCCCTGTAAATTTAATCTACTACATATGTTGCCATATTATCGAGAAATTATGTTTTTTAACTGGAAAGTAAAAAAATTCGAAATATTTTTTCAAAAAATTTCAATTTTTTTGGCGGAAAAAACTTCATAATCGTGTTTCTGGGGTCAAAATAAACTATCACTTAAAATATTTACACTTATTAAAGACTCATCCTGTATATCCTTCGTACATGAAATAATTATTATTCATCATTTATTCAAAAATGTTGTTCCAAGAAATGGAATGTTCAAATAAACACAATAGGTATTTCTTGAAATATTTCATTTCTTGAAATATTTCATTTCTTGAAAAAATAGTTATATAATGGTCGATTTTTCGAGAAAATTACAGTGTTTACTTTTAAATGCTTGGAGAATAATAAAATATTTTTCTATACCTACCTTTCGATAACTGGGGAATGCTCGCACGAGCATGCTTCACAATACAATCCGACAAATCGGACCCCACACGACAGGCTGATATATAATTTGCTGAAAATTAAAAAAAAATTATCAGAAAGTTATTTATTTATTTTAATGTAATAAAGCAGAAGATTAAAAAAACTACGTAGCAGTGGCTTTTGAAATAGCAATCAATAATACATTCTAGATAATATTGTCACACTACACATTTGTGGCTGATGAAAACTACCTGAATTTTCAATATTCTTTATGATTATGTAAGATATAATTTTCAGTATTCTCAATATTCACGGAATATCGAGACGGCCTGTATATTGTGTATTGCTATCATTGTGTACCCCCTGCCAGTAGAAATGGCGAAATACCCATAGGATTTTTTTGGAGAAATGAATCCGCTACAAAGGTATAGACATTTTTTTTTATATAAATTTCAATTTTTTTAATTTATAGTATTTTTATATTATTCTGGAATGACATTTTTATAAGTATAAGAATACTAAAATTTGCAATATTACATGGTGTATAAAGGGTTAGCCAAAACAAGATGTTTTTTCTCTTTTTCAAATAGACAACTAACGCTCTCTATTGTATAACATAAATAAAGGTAGTTTTCCTACAGACTTAAGTTTTGAAATATAGGGTGAGTCTTAAATAAGTGCAAATATTTTTAGGGCTAGTAGATCTAAATAGAAACATATTTTCTCTTTATTATTTTTCAAATAAGTGAAAAAAATATTTTTTGCTTAAATTTTGAAAACCACTGTATCTTTTGTGGTTTTTCTTTCTTGTAAATTTAATCTACTACCTATGTTGCCATATTGTCAAGGAATTATGTTTTTAACTAAAAAAATCCAGAATATTTTCCAAAAAATTCCAAATTTTATTTTTTCTTCCGAAAAAAACTCATAATCGTGTTTCTGGGGTCGAAATATACTACCCCTAAAAATATTTGCACTTTTTTAAGACTCACCCTGTATATTTTTTATTTTCAAAATGGATTTTGATATTCTAATTTTTTGTTTTATTATGATTATTTTAAAACAGCGTAACTGCAATAACTTATATTTGAGGCTACCAGCGCAAAACTTGCAAATTTCAGCGGAATTATATTTATTTTATTAAATTCATTCAAGTTTTAAGCTACACAATTTGCTTCATTAATAGTTTTCATGCAATTATTAATATTAGCTTCATATATCCAAAAAAATCCTTATGGGTTTTTCACCACTGCACTGCAAGAAAAATCTACAAAATAAAATAGTTATTTTTTGTAAACACTTCTGCGTTAAACCTAAACGGACGCTGCTTGTCAGAAGTTGTGTTTACAGTAATAAAAATTTGCCTAACAAAGAAAAAAATGCTTAACGTTTCGGAAAGTTTTCTCTTTCCGTCGTCGGAAGCAAAAAAATATAAAGAATCAAGAAAAAACTATTTAAAATATTTAAATTGAACTATTCGAGAACACTTTACTTTTTAAAATAGATACGTCTACAAGAAATCGTTGACGTTCTGTTAAAATGACATTATATTAAGTTAAACTTCAAAATTAACAATTACTACCTGATAATTACTTAATAAGGTAAAACCAAAAAGCCCAAACTTTCTGTATGATTATTTTTAAATTTCACGTATGTGATGTTTATTTATGTAATGTTCTTAAAAATCAAAGAAGCGATTGCCATACATTACTAACATCTACAGATGCATGAGCAATACATTTATTTTTATTAGATTGAATTAAAAAAACCTCTTTTATTTTTCTTTTAGAGGCTATCGCTTCTTTCATACTGTAAACACAACTTCTGACAAGCAGCGTCCGTTTAGGTTTAACGCCAGAAGTGTTTACAAAAATAACTATTTTATTTTGTAGATTTTTCTTGCAGTGCAGTGGCAAAAAACCCATAAGGATTTTTTTGGAGAGATGAATGCGCCACATAGGTATAGACATTTTTTATTAGCTTCATAACTTTGCAAAGAAATTCAAAGAGAATTCAGTATTTATTATTCTAAAAAAAAACAAAGAAAACAAGAAAAAACGGTTAAACAAGATTAAAAAAAGAATTTTCTTTAATTAATTTAGATCGATACGGAAGAGAATAAATAGAATTAATTAAACTTGACTTACGGAGATGTTTGGAATTAAATTTCTTCTGTGCTACGCTCGACGACAACAAACACCCGACAACAAACAAAGCACTATTCAGTAACATGGTGAACAGTTGTTAACCGGACAATTTTTTCAAACGGAATGGCGAAATTGCTTTAATTCCCTGTTAATTTATAAGTTTGACCATCATTATTACTTGTTTGTTGGTTCGAAATATTTTTTTTTAAATTTAAATGAGATTCGGCGGGCAGAAAAAGCCGCGCTGCGAATTTGAGAAGAAACCAGTTTTGGAATTGTCATGTGCCAAGAGCGGAAGACAACTTATTGGTTTCTTGGGAGGACGCGATAATTTTACAATAACCATATTAATATCAACATTGCTAATACTAATAAATGCGTATTGTTCAAATGTCGAAAATCTTACAGAATTTGCATATTTTTTTTGTGGTAATATTTGAATACATATTCGGTAATATCGATAAATGAAATAAAATTTTGGAATGACCTTAGCGACTACAAAATTATTTTACTATGTAATTAATTTAAGATAATTTTCACTGACAGTCAAAAGAGAAAAAATAGAAACTCAAAAATTGTGATCTTTAAATCAAATTCTTCAAAATCTTCATTCATCTTTAAATTTGAATGTTCGAAATCTTACATTATTTTTTGTAGTATTTAGTACAGGTTTTAACAGAGATATTGAGGTGCAAAACCTGCAGCTTACCTAATAGGGGCAATAAAATATAGGGGTTGTAAGGTTTTATCTGAACCGTCAGAAAATGAAATAGAAGTAAATAAAAGACGATCAGAAAGTTTAGAAAAAATAATATTTTTACTTTTTATAATGGAACACTCTATATGATTCAAGTTTTTTTGACCGATATTTTTTTTTTCGAGTTCAAAAACATATACAGTATGACCCCGGATTGTTTTTACAAGTCCTAAAAATCAAAAGGCGTTTCTATGGTAATATAATTTCGATTTCATTTTTTGATAGATGGTTATTATCAATTTTGATTAACGTCAAATTTTTTGCTGTTGTTAAAGTATCACATTTTCCGATAAACTATCACCCTTTCAGTAGCATTTAACTAAATAAATTTTGTGCTTATTTAAAATTTAGACAGCAAAAAATTTGAGTTAATTAAAATTCTATCAATAATAATCTATCAAAGAATGAAAACGAAATTATATTACCATAGGTGTTTTGATTTTTAGGACTTCAACTTTATTTTCCTGTTTTTTTTTTAATTTTCTATAAATCTGTGTGAAAATTTAGAAAAGTATAAAAAGGATTAACCATTTTATCCGAAAATGTTAATGATAAAATAGTTTTTCTTCTTGAAAAGACAATCAGGGGACATACTGTAGTTTGTCTACATTTTGGTTTAATCAATGCAATCGCTATCACACAAAACATATAGTGTGTCTTGGAAACAATTGTTAATTTGCATTTTATGTGGAAGATGTTTGTATGGATTATACCAAAATAATTCAATAACGGATTAAGCAAATATAGACAGACTATATACAGGGTGGTCCAAACTGTATTCCGGAAATTTCGGCAGCATATTCTGCAAATAAAAATAAGTAAAAAACTTCGTATGAATATATGTTCTAAATTGCTTAGTTTCGGAGATAGAAGGTGTAGAAGTTTCATTTTTATTTCGATTGTTTCCAAATAATTAATAAAGTAAGGTCAATATTTGGATGAAAATTGGTGTCCGGGAATTTTTTGACACGACAAATTTTATTTTGTTGTCAATATGACTCCTATTTGTAGGGGGCGCCACCTACATGTGCTTTAACTGCTTTGAAAAGTAATAATTTTTCGTCCGTACCTGTATAAAACTACTGAGTGAAAAAATATACATTTCTGTAATTTTTTACGTAAAAAATGTCTCTTGGTAAATATCGCTAGGAGCAACCGTTCTCAAGATATTTAAAATGGAAGTAGTCAATACATGTCATTATTGACAGAAAATAAAATGAAAAGAAAATAAACATGTTGAGTAGTTAGTTATTCAACTGAAATGATAAATTTGGTAACTTTTTATTTTTTTAAATATGACGTATATTTGAAAATGGAAGAAAGAGATCTATCAGAAAATATTACTGAAGAGTTTTCATCTGCTGATAATGCTAACATGGTTAGCGAAACGCGCGACCAGTGTTTAAAAGTAAAGTGTTTTAGTGTATTGTAGTCAGTTTTAAGTGTTTATTATATCTCTCTGATACAGGCGAAGATAACCTGTAGTAAATAACAATTTCTTTACATCACATTCTATAGAACATTGTAGGTACAGGGTGTCCCACTAAGAATAGCTCTCGGCTGTATCTCGGAAAGTATTAGCCGTAGGGGTTGCATAAAAAAATATTTATGACTAAAGAGGCTATGAGAAATTGCTGGAAATTATTTTCAAGTTCCTAGAACGACCGCTAGGGGACGCAACTGCAACAAAAAATAAGAAAATGGAGTTTTTACACAATTTTACCTAGATAAGGTGTACTATAAGTAATAGCTTCTTAATCTTCAGTAAATATTGAATATTTTTTGTTAGAACCATTTTCCCCTATCTACCAAAATAAAGTGGTAGGGAAGGTTAGATCTGTTTTTATTTAAATATTAATAACTCTGGACTGGATTATCGGAATCCAACAAGCGAGGGCTCATTTAAAAGAGCGTTTCTTATTCTATATTGTACCATATAAACAATAATAATAAGCTTTTGGAGGTAGACGCTAGGGGGCGTTGTCTTACAATTCAACAAACATTGCGCGTTTATTAAAAAAAAAATTCAATAGTATATGTAATTTTAGCTGATCGGAAAGAGTAGAAAAAGCTTAAAAAGTCAGCGAAAACCGCATCTTGATATCTTCTTTCAAACCGAAGATATTAGCAAAATTATAACAAATACCAAAAAATAAGCCTTTAATTACCTTATTTTTACAACACGGTATCAGCCCTCTTGATTATGCCCATTCTAACAAAAAATAAGATAGAAACAGTTAGTTTATTTTCAAATCGACGAAATACCAAAATACCATAATACCAGATGTATTAATATCTAATAATTAAGATATTAATACTAATACAGTGGACAAGAAACGATGATTCAGTGAAGTCATGGTAGGCTTTGGAAAAAAGTTGCTTTTGACGTAATAGTATAAACGTCAAATTGATATTAGATCAACATTTTGATAGTCTTAGCAGCGTTTTTTATATTTTGATTGCTTTTTCAAAATGCCAACAACTTCAAATAATAAAAGCAATAGCTGTAGCTATAGCAGCACCAGATTCGCGGAAAACGTAGGCACCCCAAAACAATAATTATAAGTTTTGGCGGCATGCCGAGCAGTTCAATCTAAACTTGTTTCCTTTATCTATGACAAAAGCCTTAAGGTTTAGGAAATATAATTTTACCCTCACAAAATTATAAGTTGACAACGTAAGGATGTTGGCATTTACTTGGTTTTGTATTTTTACCTGTTCAATTTCAATTTAAAAATAGATGCAGTTTTTGTTACATTAGTGACATTAGTTAAAAAGGGTTTGCCCAAAATGGGATCTTTCACAAAAAATATAATACCCAATTCAAGGACAAAATCTGAAATAGAAGACTATTTTCAGTATATTTATCCAAAAAAATAGTTCCATGACATTCAATAATTTTTTTATAGGCCTCAAAATTGCTTTAATTTGAAATAATTTTAAAGCGCCAATTGATGACGTATGAAAAATACGTCCAATCATATTGCAGAACCGTGCTCGTGCGCCAGCCAACAATTGGCAACATTGCGATTTGATTTGACCAACACCACCTCAACTCAAGGCCAATCAACATGATATGGGCAAGGCTAATATGGCGGCGAAGGCAGAGCATTATTAAATTGTTTACCTTTAAACTGAAAAGCCGGTAGTGGTTTCTCGTTCTAAATGCATACCAGAAATAATTAATTAACTCTAGTTTTTTGTGCTTCTGCAACACGTTTGTTTAGTTCTTAGTGTTCAGTGCATGGTGTGATCAGAAAATTGTGATAAAATAACAGTGTAACAAAAATCCAAACCAGACATTCCACATAGAGAACTTCAAACTTTTGTGCTTGTCGTACTCCTCTATTATTAATTATTTTAAGGTAAGAACTAGAAGTATTTATCAAGATATTACACCTAAATGAGTAAAAAGCCTTCACCGCCAGTCTGTATAGTATTTTATAATGGTTACTTACAATAATCAAAAGATAGCTATTAAAGGGTAGGTATTAGTATTTTATTGTAGCATACCTGTTACATACTCTGTTCCAAATTGTTACGAGAATTATAGAGGGGGTCCCAAGGTTTTTGCTTTTATATTCTCCAAAAATGACGAGCTTCGTAAAAAATGGTTGACAGCTATTAAAAGAGATAATTTCAATCCTACTAGTAGTTCTCGGGTAAGAAGTGCTTTAAATATGCCTCAAAAAGGCCAAAGGCCAAAGCCTCTGTTACCCTAGTGAGGATGTAGTTATGGCTACTGCTTACACTTACCTCACAAGATATTGACAACATTCACATTTGAAAATATAAATGGCCTGGATTTAAGTCTTTTTTAGGTCACAATTGCCCCTCACATACGTCAGAATTTATTATTAAATTCATCTTGTTCAGAATATCCAATATTTTATTGAAGAACTATGGAAAAAAAAGGAATGACGTTATAAAAAGGTAGTTTTTTTCCTATATAAAATCTTGAAACACATATTATATTTTTTAGTTATCCTCAACTATTATAGTTTAAATTTATTCCCATTTGGGTAATGCTGCAAAACATAGGAAAAATATTCCATATTTTTTAACCCAAGTCAGTGTAGTTTACACCAAGAGCATTTACCAAGGCTTTTACTAAGACAAGTAACTTCCTACACTGTCCATAATAGTATATATTTATCAAACGTGTAGTAAATTCTAAACTATGGTAGGTAAGTGTTTGCAATTGAATATTTAGTTTATATTGCTATTTTCTGTCATATATTTCTGGTTATTTCTTTTTCCGATGATTTTGAACACCCTATATATGCTACCTCAAGTTCGAATATTTCCACGCTAGTACACTACCTACCTATTTTCTGAGAAAGCAGACCTTTTTATAAAAAGTAACTAACTGATGTTTTCAGTTTTTAAAAGTAATAATA